TGCTGCCTGCCTTTTTGCTTGGCGCATTGCTTGGGAGTCCTGTCCGCCAAATTGTTCCACGGCACTGGCGGCGGCCTCATACGCCAGCGCCGAGCGTTGGAGCCCGAGAAACTGACATTGACACTGCGCATCTTGATCAAATGCCCTGCAGAAGGGCTTCCGTTGCAGGCTAGAGGTCCAGAGGTTCAGGAGGCGACCAACAGTTGTTGCGTTTCTGTTTGCAAGCGCGCGCAGGGGGAGGGGGTCCGGTCACGAAACCGATAACTGGCATCACAGGGTCAACGGTCACAGGGATCGGGGGTTGGTTGCTTGTCAGCCCCCATTGAAACAGCGAATCACGGCATACGCCCCTTGCATGTCGATGCGTTGCCAGGAAAATAAAATGCAAAAACTTGTTAGACATGCTTTGCCACCTTGATCGGCAGAATTCCACGCAGGCAGGCTCGAAATTGCATGGAATCAACTGTTGCGTTTGACGCGTGGTATCATTCAAAGTTCCTCCGCCAAAAAAATCAAGCGAGGCCAAAACATCTTCGCTGTTCGCAGTGTATATGTGGGTTCATAGCAGCCGTGGCACTGGGGATGCAATTTTTGTTGCGCGACGCTTGATTGAACCATTGGGCCACACATGACGGAACTTTAGCTACTCTTTTATTTGGATTGGACAAAAGCCGTTGACAGCCTTGCCCCAGGTGCTCTGGTCAAAGCGTTGCAAAGATTTGGGATCCCAACGCATGTTTGTCGTGTGGTACAAGCGGTTTATTCCCATAGACGGTTTCAAGTGCGGGTTGACGGGCAGATGTCATCCACCCGGTGCCAAGAACACGGCATTTCCCGCTGTCCGCTTTCGCCCGTTTTTGTTTTCCATTTTGATGACAGTTTTGTTGTATGATGAAAAAATTGATCTGCGGAGTCGTGGAGGGCTCAATTTGCCCGCGACCTTAGTAATGATCTATCTGGTTTATGCAGATGTTAAGCTTGTTGTGGCCGTCGAACAAAAAAGAGCCGAAGTGCAAATGAACTGCATCACCCTTGTCGGGTCCAAGTACGCATTCATGTTCAGTTGGAAGGTGGAGTTGATGCGTATTCGATGCCAAGCCTCGATTCGGAAACCAAACGGGTGTGAAATCCCGAGCAACTCATCCTTGGTGTATTTGGGCCATATTTTGTCAGCATCTGGTGACATCACTTTGGAAGTGAGTCGACGACTGGGTATGGCACCCGCTGATTTCATTGCTCTGGGGCGAGTTTGGAAACACTCCGCATTGACTTCTCGCAACAACTTGCGGGTTTTCAACGCATGCGTGGTGTCGAGGCTTCGTTATTGCCTGCACACTGCTTGCCGAGTTGAGGAGCTCAGACGCTTTTCATACAAGCTGTCTCCGCAAGATTCTTCATGTTCCCCATCCGTTCATAAGCAGCGTTTCGAACGCAGAAGTTCTGAGCCGGGCAAACCACCGTTTGCGGTCCAAGATTTTGCAGTAAAAACAGGTAATGTTGTTGAAGCGTGTGGCCGATTTACCTTCGGAAGAGACTTCATGAGAACATGTGTTTTTCAAAAAAAATGACTAGCGTATTGAAGTGTACAGGTTTGTTGAAAGCATGGCCGATTGTGACCGGTGTTCGCTTGACAGTTTGTGGCAGCTGCCTCCTTCTCAATGGAAATTGCGGGTTGCGAATTTCTGTTTTAGTGCCTGACAGCTAGCATTTGTTCATGCCCATGTGTACTGTACACGGGACCTTCTCACTCACTTTTCCCTTCGCACCTCTTCCCGCAGCCCGTCCCACGTCTTCGTCCCTTTGCAGGCACATTCCATCCACTCACGTGGCGTGTCCTGGCTGGGGTTGTGGCAGGGGCAACTATTGAACGCCGCAAGGACCTCACCCAGGTCGGCCCCAAAGCTGCCGTGATGGCAACCCCCATGCATTTGTGGCTCCAACAACCATGTGGCAAAGGCTCCCCGAACTGCGACAAAGATGCCACCTTGGTGTTGTGCCTAGGCGCGGCGGGCGGTGGACTGCTGTTGCCGTACGTGCGCGCAAGCAGGCGGAGAAACTGCGCTGCTTCACGCGATCAGCGGCCACCAATTTCAACGCCAAAAAAACGCGCCCACTTACTGAGGTTAGGTTTGGCATCGCTTGCGTTCGGAAGCGTGTCACGGGCTAAAGCTGGTTGAGCATCTGCACCGGTCCTGCCCACGAGGCTCACGATGGTGGCATCTACGGCGAGTCGCGCGCAATGCCGAAGGGCAAGACGTTGCACATGACCTCAATGCACCTGGCATCGTGCATGGGGGCATCGACTTTCATGTTAGCGAGATGGACGTTCTGGGCAACACGGGCCCCTGCCTTGCGGCAGACACGCGCCAACGCTCTCTCGACTGGGTTTGCTTGAGCCGGCAGCTCACTGCAGTACCGCAATCGGTTCGCCAAGGGTTCACGCTGGCCGGGGCAACGACAAGCCCGCGGTGCCAGTGACAGGGGTAAGCGCAACCTTCGCAGCAGGATCACGAGGAACTGCGCGCTCGGGATGACAACTTCTTCATGCACTGGTGCCGCGTTGCGGACGTGTGGGGAATGTGGGCCAATTTGTGACAGCAACAGAGCTCAGGACGCAGCTGACACGTGAGCAGGGTGCGCCCCAAGCGCGCGCTCATCACAGGCAGTAGCCGCATGCCGCGAACGATCGGCGGGCTCATCGATGCCGTGCATGGGGTAATTGCGCGGCTCACGGCGGTCGGCCCCCGCACAAAGCAAGCCCAATTCCCCAAACCGTGCCGCGAGCTGGGCTGCACTCCAACCCTCTGCGGGCAGCAGTGCGGCTTGGAAGTCCTCGACACGCGGGATGCGCTCCAGCAATCGGCCTTGGGTCGCACGTTTGAGGTGGAGCGTTCCGAGCGGCATACCTAGCGCGACGAGGCCTTGCTGATCTTGGGGCAGTGCCCAATCTCCAACCTAGACTGGGTCACCGCCCTCGAGCTGGAGGTCACGGATGCTACGCCAGCGGCATTCCCGGCCTTGGAGCTTTGGTTTTGGAGCGGTTGAGGTGGACCTGCGCATGCTTTCACAGGGCGACCTCGATGTCATCCGGGAAGGCAAAAACGGCTTCGCCGTGCTGGAGCTGTCCTTGGACAGCTTGCAAGGCACCATGTGCATGAGGGGGTCCCACTGCTCGTCGCCCTCTGCTTGGCATACCTTGTGGTTGCGTCCCTGGTCGTCCGTCCATGAGTAGTGGCCGGCCGAACTGTAGAATTGCTGCTCATGCAACGCTTCCAGCATCGCAGCCCTGGAGACATGGTCGAATGCCTCGGCTGCATCGACCGACAAGACCATGCCACGCGGGTCAATCTCGGTTACCTTTGTTGCACGAAGACTAAATCTTCCCTGGTGTAGCGCCATGTTCTGCCCCTGGTCCACCATGCCATTGATAAACTCACCCTGTTTCTTCCAAATCGTTGTAGCAGTCACAACTGAGCCTCTTCACAGAAAACTTCGGCTTCCGTCGGACCAGTATGCGGCTGACAGGCTGACGACTTTGGCTGACGAAGGTCACCTCCTTGCGTGTATTAGTGCTCGTTTTTGAGCCACGGGGCGGGTGCAGCCACAGGCTTCGTAAACAGCTATCCCCGACATGATGTGTGTCAGGAAGAAGAGGGATGACAGGATTTGGGGTCAACGTGCATGGTGATGCGTCAGGTTGCCCTGCCAAATCATCGATACGCCATTTTGCGAAACAAGGCAGCGTGCAAGCGCTAACAAATAATGCGAGACCGGCAGCCAGCGACCTTATGCCACTTATGCCATTTTGAACGGTTCACGTGAGTTGCAGGCGCTCACTTCATTCCCAGCTGAACTTAAGCGTAATGGATCGATGTCCATGAGCACGCAGCGCTGCTTGCTCCACCGAAACTCACCGACACGGCGTCACCTCATCTCCTATGATTGGTGCGTCGTTCACAAAACCTACGTTCGCCCAACTACTTGTCCCCAAGTAACTGTAAAGGACATGATCTACCTAGCCAGCAGTCCGGGGTTTCCACGACTGCGCTAGATGTCGCCTATGTCCCGCTAGGCTTTGCGTGTAGCCGTGCTTGAAATGGCATTGAGGAGCGAAGGAGATTTTTTTGCCAATGTGAACCGCGATGTGGATGTTGAATTCTTGGATTTGCAAGCTGCAGGTGCTCCGATGGGTCTCCCAAACCAGAGTTGAAGAGGATTTTGGGAGCTCAGCCACAGAAGGTACTGGCAAAGCGATGAGCGACATTATGAACAAGCTCGTCTCGAAATTACCTCCTCAGCTCAACCCTTGAAGGAGTATGTTGGCTCAAAGGCTATCCGTTTCGTGCGATTCTTCTCATCAACGATGTTATCTACCAGCTGATGGTCATTCTCAAACTTGCATCAGCGACGCACTGCCAGTGAGGCCATCATCAGAATGCTTACATACGACAGCAGGCGAAATCCCATTTTCCTCTAACAGACGATCGCAAAGAGCGAAGACCGCAGCTCTGTACCAGGCGCTGGGGTGAGATAGCGTTGTTGTAGAGGCCTAAATCATTAGAATGAGGCTTAAGTTTTCCCTGCTATGTTTGACAGGGTTTCCCACCGAATCATCTTCGTGACTACTATTCAGGCTTCTACAGGAAATCTCGTGGCTGGTCATGGGCCATCAGCGGCACACAGCCAAATGTCCTGACCTCCACCAAACACGGCAACGCGAAGCACTGTCTCCAAATCTGATAGGCCTCATCTCTGTCCTGGTTCTTTAGCGGGATAATATCTACTATTTGCTTAAGAATAAGAATCACCAAAAAATAGCAATGTTTCTCTTGATAAGGGTAATATAGGGATTATCCTTTTCTTATTTCTTCAGGGCTCTTAAGCAAATAGTAGATATGAAGCCTGCTGCGATATATGACATTTCTTCTGTCCAAGAAAACATGAAAGTATCTCCAACAATGACCCAGCGTCAAGGCCACAAACAAAACAAACAACTCAGCTTATGTAAAATGCTGGCAACCAGGGCCACCGACCCAACGCAGACAGGCAGTTTGCGGCTGACTGGCCAGTAGCAGAACGGTAACCCCATAAGGCAAAGACAGTGATGGGATGGCAAGGACGAAGCTTGCCAATATGGGACTTGACCTAGACTCTTTCTTCCACTTTTGGGCATCCGATTTCTGCCTTGGGATCAAAGGAAGCGCGCACATACCAAGCAAGGATGCAACATAAGTCAGCACGTAGGACCATGCCACAGTCGCTCGGAAGCTCAAGGTATCTGCGATGTAGTTCTGCAGCTCGGATAAGGATGGCCGGAATAAACCAAAAAGCTGATTGCTCAGAGCTGTGGATACCTAGGTGGGTTTGGGGTTGAATTAGGGTTCTCAAAATTAGAGATCCCTCTTTGGAGGTCCCTATTATAAGGCTCATAGTCTTTCGGGTCTATATGGGGGACCCCCCAATATAGGGAAACCACCAGGTTGATGAAATCAGGAACTAGAATTAAGTTACAATAATGGAGAATCAAACGAAAAAGAAGCTGAAAATGTGAAAGCTGCGCTTCTACAACAGAGTTGAAATAGGGATTTCTCCCTACATAACCCCTAGAGAGCCCTTATAAACCAACAACCCAGATGCTGGCTGACTGGCGTTCATCAAAGTTCCAATCAGCCCGTAGCAAAGACCCTCCAATCCAGGCTCAGAGAGCTCGATGATCATCAAGTTCGTCACTAAGGCCTGGAGTTACAGGCCCCCCGTAAGTAGGTAGAATATGGGGTATATGGGGATCTTATCATATACTATATACCCAAAGCCATATTTTATCTACTTAAGGGGGACTATAAGGCCTGTTCGGGGACCTAATTTAAGTTACTATATTGGAGTCAACTTCTTAAGAAATCCTTTGGGTGGAGCCCCCACCTTGTAATTGTGCCAATAGGGGATAATAAGTTCCCATTATACCACCATTATAGGGAGAAGGGTCCTCTTGAAGAATCCTGGTAAAAGGGGGCCTTCAGAAATATGAGCCATTGTCTAAACTCCTAGTATCCCCCTTAATAACCCCTATAATAATCCCCTATATAATCCCTTGCATAGCCCCCCTTTAAGGAGTTTAGACTATAGCTCATATGAGCTCCTAACCTCCCTAAGGCATGTCAAGGTTCCCTAAGCTCCCCTCCCTGGCATGGAGTCGCCGACAATGCTCCAGGAAGGTTGCTCTACAGGTGCTTACTGAAACTTCAAAGCAATGCAAGAAGAAGAAGCCTACAAATAGACCTAGAGGCCAGGGCTGTAGAGGGCACAGCTCCAACAACTTCTTCGCCCAGGTAGAAGTACTGGTCACGCACTATGCCGAAAACTGCAAGGAAGGTAGGGACAGCATCACCTCGGAAACCAGGTGTAAATGATGTTTCGCTTTTCAACAGGTCCTTTGCTGGAGTCTGTTTCCTCAGGACTTTAGCATTGTGCTGGAAAGGGGGGCCGCACTTGAGAGACATGCAAGTCAGGCTGGAAAAAAAGCAAAACCAGGTGCTTTTAGGATTCCTGGGTCCCTTACAGCCCCAAAAGCTGAGTCACAGAGTGTCACCGTCACGATTGCCACCATCAGGGCCTTCCGCCAGGAAGTCTGCAGGAGGCACACCTTTAGGGATCCAAAAAACAAGTGCAAGAAGCTAGGCGTCTTCTTTTTTCGTTCGGTCTGGTGCCACGAACCTTGTAGATCCAGGTGGCCACCATCATCATGACAGTGCTGCCAATGAGAAAGAGTTGCTGCTGTAGGACCTTGATTTTCAAGACTTGCAAGTCACTTTGCGGCTTGGAAGAGAAAAAATACTCAGAAGTTGATTTCGGGTGAAAGCAAGAAGGAGCTGTACTTTGAGACATCGTTGCCTTGACCCCGGCCCACTGACTCCGGACCATAGGTGCAGCAGTTGTGGAAATCGAGGCAAAGAACTGGTTCACGAAAGCAAAAAGCAGAACGCTGGAAACACCTCTGTTCTTCACAAGCTTCCTGAGTGACACGCTGGACAAATCAAACAAGATGGTAGAAAAGAGCGCTGGGTTATGCACGGGGTAGATTATTGCGTTGGTTGTTCTTTAAGACAACCATCTTTCAGAAGAGTTGGGTCGCAAGAAACGAGAAGTCCCCTGCTCCAGGACAAGCTTCCAAGAGGACTGGAAATGAGTGCGGCATGAAGGTTGCCCCATCCTCTTGGGCTCGTAGACGCACAGCAAGGAAATCGGAATCATCAGGGCAGTTATGACCAAGCACACCGTCATCAAGCCATTGAAGGACAACCCCCAATCAAATGTACCCAAATACTCCTTGCCATTCATGAAGATTCCAATCACCGCGGAGGAAGTGACGCTACCTGCCATGGTGACAATGGTAAACTCCGCCTTCATCTGCCCGCGGAATGCCACTGGCTCGCTCTTGGAGTACTGCAGCAGTAGGCCTTCGCCAGCCACGACCCCCATCTGAACACCAGCGACCAGCACACACAGTGGAAAGACGTACCAGTTCTTTTCCGCATGGATGCCAGGATTGCAAGGTGGCAAGTGCATATCATAGTCGCCGTTGGGCTGGCGACAGTAGTAAGGCGGGGGAAGCGGGCGCATGCTCATAGCTAAGAGCGCGCCCCCACAAACAAACCAGGATGCCACAAAGTAGGGCTTCCTCTTGTAACCCTGTATGGGTAAGCAATCATGTAGAATACCAAGTGGAAGAAGCAGCACCTGTGGCAGCTTCATTAGCGATGCGATCGACATTAACACATAGGAATCTAATCCCATGTAGCCAAGGAAAAATCCGTAGATAATGCCTGATGCAGTCGCATTCAGGAAGGCCAAGATGAAGCCTCCGGGCGTATCAGGGGATATCCCCTGCAAACCTTTACCCAGGCGGTCCTTGACCTCTCCCCAAGAAGCTACAAAGGTCCCCATTCAGGGTCCCCTAAACCCTAAAATCCTAAACCCTAAAACTCTAAAACCCTAAAATTCTAAAACCTAAGCCCCAAGCTCCGAAAAAGCCTCCAATTGGCAGGCCACAGGTCTCCCAAGTCCAAATATTGATGTATTCCGCATCCCTCTCCTGGGTTGCTGTTAAGGAACTTGAATTAAGTTACCAGAATACGGGTATATGATAAATAATACGATACGGTTTCCTTATGATAATAACTTAATTCGAGTTCCTTAACTGCAGCCCAGTCTCGTCTAATGCGATTTCCATGCCAGCGCGGTTTCTGCCACCCAAAGCTGGGCAAAAGCGTAAAGTTGCCCTAGCATATGAACTATGATCTAAACTTTCTAGTATCCCCCTTACTAATGGAGAATCAAATGGAAAAGAAAACGGAAAAAATACATGGAAACTGGGATTATACAGGAGGTTACGGGGGACAATAATCTAAACTCCTAGTATCCCCCAAGTAAGCCCTGTAGTACTTCCATAGAAAATCCTCTATATAACTCCCCTTAAGAAGTTTAGACTATAGCGCATATGAATATTTCCCACCACTGAGTTAAGGGTTCAGGGTCTAGGGAATAGTAATTGGGGTTTAAGGTTGAGCTTCCGTGAATACTTCACATATCATTCAAGGACATGGGTCCTTATTGGGAAGTTTACTCGGACTATACTCAACTAGCAAAGGGACACCCGCGTCCACCCTGATGGTCCCTTGTTAATATTAACAGTCGCCCATATGATTAACCTAGACTGTGTGTTGCGCGAAGGAGACACTACCAAGTCGGCGTTCATGTAAAGGGACAGAAGCCTTCTTTTGGCCGCTGCTCATAAGCCCTAAATGCTGCGAGCTCCACAAGGCCAGATGACAGTCAAGTTCTGCACAGAAAATAGCACAGCTCAAAGTGGGGGTTTCCCAAAATTTGGGATACCATTTCGGGGGGTCCCAATAATAAGCACTATAATATTTTTGGGTCTATCTTGGGGTCCCCTATTTCGGGAAACTACCAAGAATTTCTTTTTTGACCATCCACGCATTCACGTTTCAAATGGACATGTAAATGCCTGGACGTTTGGTCCATGGTTTGATCTGCGTCCTTGCTCACGGCAACATCGGACTGTGAGCAGCACATCTTTTCGTGTTTCTAAACTCCTTGACCTAGACCCTATAAACCCTAAATCCTAAACCCTAAATCCTAAACCCTAGATCCTAAACCCTATTCCTAAGAGTGGGCGACCTTGCTAGGTTGCATAAACATATTCTCCATGTGGGATTCCGGACCAGCCCTTTTCCAATTGTTGCTGAATCGCCTACATGTGCATCTGGGTACGCAGACGCGTCACGGAAGCCATCGAGTGCATCTTGCTAGGTCTGGCATATGGCTTTCCGAGACTGCAGGCACCCATAAGGGATGTGTCCCACCACATGGGGATCCCTAGTGTAAGGATCTCCGACATGGGACACTCCAATGTGTCGCTTTTTCCCTTTTCGGGGTATGGTTCAGAGTGTGGAAGGCCAAAGCCTTGCACTGGAAAGCAATGTGGGGGTTTCCATAAAAAGGTGTCCCCCTGATATGGCAGACTGCTGCTGAGGGTTCAGAAGAATCCGAATTCTCATCGGATCCTCTCAGACCCCCTAAAGGATCCAACAAAAGGAACCCCTTACTCATCCCCGAGTATCGCCAATGTAGTAATGGGTTCATATCGGGGAGGGGGTCCACTTTTGGATCCTTCAGGGGGTATGGGTTGAGAGCATGCAAAACATCGGCAACGACGGGGCCGCTCCGATCCAGGCTGAAGTGGCACAAGTTATATGGGGGTAACATAAGGGTAATGGAAAAGAAAATGGAAACTACTATAATGGGTTATAGGGAATATAGGGCATATACAGGGGTAATATAGGGAGAATGGAAAAGAAAATGGAAACTACTATGATGGGTTATATTGGGGTTATGTTTATGGCTTTCAACAATCAATGCTTCAGACTTTCCCCATATCTGGCGCTGGCTGTGAGCATTTGAGGACTGGTGCCCCCTTCTATTACGAAGCCCAATGAACATGTGTGGGTATGTTTGCCATGGTTCCTGACATAGGGACCTCAGACAGGGACGCTATCTTCGATTTCTGCATCTGGTGGTATGTGGCATTGCCCTGAGCTTGGGCCAATCTGCACTTTGAAAGGCTAAATCGCTTAGATGTCCCAGGAGCATGTCTGCTGTACTGCGGGTATGGCATTTCAAGTTTTGCAGCTATAGGGCGGTGCTTTCCCAAGGCGAAGCAAAATTACAGTATCTATCAGAAATTAAGGAAGCTGCAGCAAAACGGCCTGATCCTGGTTTCGTAGTGAAATGTCCATTCAGTTCGGTACACCTACTGCATGAACACTCATGGGATAATGAAAGCCTTCAACCTAGGTCCCGTAAGGGCCGCAAGATCACCCAGAACCCAAAACAAACCTTGGAAGCCCCCTTAAATGCTTGGAATGCACTTGGGGTCGTTCTAGCTCATGTGTGCCGTCACCTTCGTAGCCGCCCCTGCTAGACCGTGTCATTGGAACAGCAATCGAAACGATTGAATTGGCTCAGCAGTGTTTTTTGTGTTAAGGAACCCAGTGAAGACTTTCTTCTTCCGATGACATAACTCTTCCGCTTCTTGTTATTCATGTTTGTGGAACTCCAGAAAGGAACCAACCTAAACTCTACACACTAAATAGTAGTTTCCATTCCATTTTCCATTATTCCAATACAACCCCATTATCCCTAACCCTAAATTGTTTGAAAAGCCTTCCGGGATCCTCTGGTAGACAGGAGTTCACTCTCTGTCAAGGACGCTAGACCACCTCAGCTCGAAGTGCCCAAGAGGCTTGCTACGGCTGAAAAGTGGTATCGCCAGTGCCGCCTGCGAGTGGGAGGGCAGGCCTTCCAGTGTAATTATCATTCCAGCTAGAGTCTGAACTCCTAGTATCCCCTTTCAGAAGCTCTGTAAGAATCCCTTACATACGCCCCCATAGAACTCCCTGTAGGCAGTTTAAACTTTTGGTCATTTTGTCTACTCAAAGCGTTGCAATTGCCAGTCTAGTGGCTCGGTATAGCTCTCCTCATCAATGAGCTGATAGCTTGGTCTGTTGGGCCTTCAAATGTGGAGCCTTATGCTACTTCCCACCCTCCATGCTTGAAAACGGCGACAAACTCTAAGTTCCGTTCTTGTGCCGGCAAGTTTAGAAACGTGAGGGGGGCATTCAAACCCTTTACAGCCCCTCATCGGAGTGGCCCCTGAGCCGCTCCAGATTGAGGCACATTCGCAAGCCGCTCAGTTCCAAAGCCCACGCAGGCCAAAGGATAATACAGACCATGAAAATAAATAAATCATATAGCAAGAGTAGCAATATCTTTATTTATTTTAAAAGTGGTAGTAGCAGTAGCGGCAGTAGTAGCAATAGTAGTAGTCAGGGTCATTCTTCGAGTTTCTGTTGCTCTGGGGGCTTCAGAAACTGAACTTCAACTACTGCGGCTGCGGACTTCAAAAATGCTTGAGTCATCTTTCCTAGAATTTTTGAACAGTCGTCTGCTGTTCCAACCTGCCACAATACCCTCGAGTTGCCCACCCTTTTTTGGTGGAAACCAACGAGGGCTTCAGTGGTAAGCAGTGCATAAGATTTGGCAAGGCCGGCCTTTGCTCTGCCAAGCTATGCCAAATACACTCTGCAAGGAACGGGGAGGGTTCACAGGCTTCTGGCGGCAAACATCGCAAAGTTGCCGCGCAAGCTGATGAGCTCGTTGTAGGTACCTGACTCGACGAGTCGGCCATTGGAGAGCACGAAGATCTTGTCTGAGTGTTGAATGGTGGACAAGCGGTGAGCCACGGTAATGGTGGTTCTGCCCTTTCTGGCCTCCTGCATGACAACAGCAAGTACACTGAGTTTCTGACCGGCATGATAAGAAGAAGAAACATCATGCCCAAGACCCCCTCATCATAGTGACATGGCAGTGGCTCACCACCGTCATCATTCTCAAGTTCCGTTTGGGGTGAGAACGTTAAAGCCCCGCGCTGGATGTCCCATTCTGCACAACCTAGACCCGCATCGTAGAAACCTTCTAGCTGGCAGCACGTCCGTGTATCTCTTTGCTTTTAGCCCCAACTGCAAACCCCATACGAGACACCAAATCCCAGTCTCTGAACCCTCTAGTACCTAGACCCTAAACCCTTAAACGATATCTGTCACAAATAGTGGGAACCCATATAGACTCAAAAATGCTATAATCCTTATGGGGGACCCCCAATGATGTACCCCTAATTTTGGGAAACCCTAACCCTAAATCCTGAACCACTAAACCCTCCCATAACTCCCCCCTGCAGTCCTGCATGGCCTGCTGTACCAGGCGCTCGGAAGAGGAGTCCAACGCCGAGGTGGCTTCGTCCAGGAGCATGAAGGCAGGGCTTCCTGGGGTTTAGGGTTTAGGGTGTAGAGTTGAGGGTTTAGCGCTTAGTTTATATCTACTATTAGGTGATTATTCTACTTCATAATACTTTTCTAGTATGTTATAGTGGAAAATATAATGGCAACGAGAACCCAAAGGACAAGTACTTGGAACATGACATGAAACTAGGTTGCTTTCAACGTCCCGAGGCTGTGAGGGCTTGGGGTTCAGGGTCCAAGGTTTTCAGGGTTCTGGGTTTGGGGTTTCGGGTTTTGAAGGTTTCGGGTATTATGTTTAGATGCTTGGGGGTTTAGGGTTTAGGGGCAACTTAACTTCGGATGGTAGAGAATGAGAAAATGGCAATTGGGTAATCTGGAATGTTGGAGTCTCAGATGTAATGGTGGAGACTGAAATCAAAAGAGCAATCATGGACAATGAAATGGACACCGGGATTGTATAACGGATCGCGGGTTGCCTTTTCTGCTTTTTGGAATGTGGGTGTTTTCCACATCTACCATATTCATACTAGGATTCTGAAGGAGTTCTAACGACATTTTTTCAGTCTTCTACATCAGCTTGGGGGAGTCTAATTAGGTGTCTTAGGGGAGAGCATTTTTCACAACCCTAAACCCTATCAGCCCTATCCAGGGTTGGGGGTATTTAGTCAGAGGTGATTACCACACCACCGCCGGGACTCGGAGAAGCGCCCGGGCAATGGCGCAGCGCTGTTTCTGACCTCCTGACAACTTCTCGCCACGCAAGCCCACCTGACTTCTGAAAACAATAGAGAGCAAGGGAATGAAATCCCCAAAAAACTCTAGATATAAAATATTCCCCTAACCCCTACTATCCCTAAACCCTAAGCACTAAATAGTAGTTTCCATTTTCTTCTCTATATTCCCTATATGATCCCCATATAATGTATTTTCTCATTCCCTGCTAACCCTCAATATACCCACCTCACTTCTGAAGAGCTGCTTTGCTTTTTGGCATTCTACACTGGTTCATGGGGATGTAAGGGCTGGGTAGGAGTTTCTCAAAGAGCCAACGAGGAGTAACGGGCAATTTGCTTGGAATTGCTTGGGGCTTCAGCGGGGAGCCGCAAAATTTAGCCGCTCGGGCTTTCGCAAAACGAGGCTCTCCTGACTTCAGGAGTTTGCCAAAGGCACTTACAAGCTTTTGGCGCGCCCCTTGACCGTAGTCCCCTTAGACCTATGTTAGAAATGTTCGAATTTCTTGGGGTCTATTATAAAACAAATTGAAAATAATCCCTAAGGAGATTTCACTTGAGGACACACAAGTCACAATTGCAGTCAGGATGTGTCAGGCGTTGGGTGTTCTCAAAAATTAGGATGCAATCTCTAATCTTCCAGAAGCAAACCCCAGCCCGAAATCACCCTGACCTCCTTGTAGCTTCCTTTTCCATTTTCTTACTGGGGGTTAGTAGGGAATAGGGAATATAATCCCCGTGTAACCGCTATATAGCATTTTCCTTTATTCCCTACTAACCCCCAGTAAGTTTTTCCAGCTCCCTTTTGCGAAACACCGACCGGGTCTGTCCACTTCACCGACCCAGTGTTCACGCCAGCGAGTGCGTAGTTAACCTGGTCCGAGAAGACGTAGTCCTCAGGGCTTGCGAACCCCCTGGTTGAGGTGTGAAGGGTTCACGGCCCAGACATCACATTCTCCGTGACATAATCAATGTCTCGACACAAGAAATTTGCAAAGCCCTTACACCCTGAAGGCCAAGCTCTAGACTGTACAAAGCCAAGCCGTCCGATTTTGGGAACCCAAATCCTTGGCTCTCCAGTGCCTTATGCATACCTGTCATTATGGAAAATCCACCTCCAAACCCAAATCCTAAACCCTCCAAACCCACCCTAAGCCCTTGGAGTCCATGTTGGCTGCCGTCGCTGCAGTCTTGACCTGGGCTTCGGTCGCCTCGGGGGAGCCGTACCTCACGTTCTCGAAGAGGGACATGTCCTTACTTGGAGGACTGTCAAAAATCACAAGTTTCTCCACACTTGTCTTATTAGTGCTTAAGGGGCACGGGGGTAATTAATTTAAGTCCCATTGTACAGGATTACGACGGCACTCTCGTTGGAGCACCGGTAGGTTCGGGTCGGAGGCGGGTTGCGTAGTTGGGTTGTGGCCAATAGTTTTACAATTCAAGTGCATTTCTTTATCGCAGCAAATTGAAAATACTCGAACATCATTCCCCACGCCCCCAGATCTTGCGAATTGTTTCAACACGTTAGAAAGTGCATGGCAGAACGGTACCCACTCAGAAGCAGACAAGACAAAAGTCAGAAAACATGTCATTTCAAAGCAGTCTCGAAGAGAACAGGCTCTTGGCCTACGACACCCAGCTGACGGCGCCACCAGGCCAAATTGAGATCCCCCAACTCCTGGCCACCAACACGGATCGAGCCGCGCTGAGGGTTGTAGAAGCACTGAATGAGCTGAATGACAGTGGACTTGCCACTGCCCGAGAAGCCAACCAGGGCTACCGACTGGCCCTTCTGGATGGTGAAGTTGAGCTTCTTGAGCACACAAACTTCCGGGCGGTGGGGGTACCAAAAATACACATCCTTGAACTCCAGTGACCCATCTCCAAGACTTTCGATGTGCCCTGTCGGCTGGGTCGCATCGATCTTGGAAACTTGGTCGATGAGCCGAAAGACTTCTCCTGCAGCATGATACCCTGATGCAGTATCAGGTATGTACCTGGCTGCTGGTTGGTAGGGGTGAAAAGTATAGTCAAGGAACTCATAATCGTAAACCCTAAACCTTCAGCCTTACGTCCTAAACCCTAGACCCTAAATCCTACACCCTAAACCCACCACAATACCCAAGTCTTTCCTTAGAAGCCAGGTGCTGGACAATGCTGCTGACGGCCATCACGCCAAAAACTATGCAGAAGAGCGTTAGAAGCACCTGCACACAGCAATTGGTAGTTTCCCAGAATTAGGGGACCCCAACATGGACCCAAATACTATAATCCTTCTTATTGGGACCCCCAAAATGGTACCCCTAATTTTGGGAACCCACCCGATTATGCCGACTCGGAGTGTGGTATGATTGCGCAGAATACACGCTCTAGGCACGGGATTAACTGTTGTACAAGGACTGCAAAGGGCTAGGACGTAGTTTCCCAAAATTAGGGGTACTTTTTTTTGCGGGTTCCTATAATAAGGATGATAGTACATTAGGGTTCCCCTACTTTGGGAAATTTTCAGGATTCTGCAAGGAGCACCTCTCTAGCGTCGAAGCCCCAGTATTGAATGCAGGTAGCGCTCATCCAGAAGCCCGACAAGAAAATCGCGGGGAACATGCTCAAGTTGAAGCCCAGCGAAAGGCCCAGTTTCCAGGACTTCCGAGCATTCAACTCCGTCAGCTTGTTCAAAGAAGCGTCGAGAATATTCAGAGTGTTCTCCTAACGCTCCCAAATATGAAGATGCTTTCAAGTTCGCTTCATCCCAACATGTTTCTTCGTCCCAGTAGCTGCTAGAATAGGTTTCCACGTGGAAGCACTACAAGGATTATACTGCACGTCTGTTGGCGGCCTACATGGCTTTCATGTTAGTTTTGGGGAGGGTACACCCCTAAACCCTAAATGCCAACCCTGACTCCCAAACGCTATGTTCCTAAACCCCCTCAACTTTCCAAACCCCAAACCCTAAACTTTCCAAACCCTACCCCCCTGAAGCCCCTGTACCAGCGGCCTCTGCTCCCAGAGCTCGTACGGTGCGGATGCATGTTGCTGCCTCAGGGTGAGGTTCTTGGGTTTAGAGTTTTCTGGGTTTTGAAGGTTTAGGGTTTACAGTTGAGGGTTGTAGTAGGGCTTAGGGTCTAGGGTTTCTAGGGCTTAGGGTTAAGAGTTGTAGGGCTTGGGGTTTAGGGTTTCTAAGGTTTAGGTTCCTAGGTTCTGTTAAGGTTTAGGGTTGTAGGGCTTGGGACTTGGCTTTTTAAGCGTTTAGGGTTCTTAGATATCCTTACGTAGGGTTGAGGGTTAGGAGGGGTAATGTTGCTACTACGGTTTACGATATTACAAGTAGGAAGCCCTGCTATGTACTATATATCCATCTTATGGTAATTTAAATCCAGTCCCTTGAATCACCTCAGTTCTCATTGAATTGTCCATTTCTCTTCCATCTGATGCTCCATCATGATAATTTAATCCTAAACACTTAAACTCGAACCCTAGATCCTAAACCCCCAAACCCCCTCCCCATAAATCCCCCAAACCCTGAACCCAAAACCCCCAAGCCCCTAAACCCCATAAGCCTTAAACCTTAAACCCTAAACCTTAAACCCCAAACCCTAAACCCCAAACCCTAAACCCCAAACCTTAAACCTTAAACCCCAAACCTTAAACCTTAAACCCTAAACCCCAAACCTTAAACCTTCA